CTTAGACATTCATGTCGCTATGAAGCATATGCTTTTCTTCATGCCATCAAAGGCTTTGAAAGCAGAAAGCACTGTCACAGGACAAGCCCAGGGTCTGTGCTCAGGAAGTTCTTCCCTCACTAGTGGTGTGACCCTGCAATTTGTTCAATCCTACAGAGCAAGCGTCCTCATCTGACATTCAGGGTTATCATGAGGATTAAAACAGAAGAAGCCTTTTGTGATCTGTGACCCCCTTAAATATAACACTGCCCCCTTTGGATGGGAGCACCTCTAGTCCTACACCGGGGTGTGCGATCCCACTGCCCTGCAGCACTGAGCCCCAGCCACCCAGCGTGCTCCCCGCCCTGCCCCTAGGCCACAACACCCCTCATCAAAGTCACTGGTCCAATCTGAATCTGAACATAAATACATAAGATGTGAGGCATTATTTCTAAGAAGATTACACTTCAAATATCCTAAAAAAGGTGTGGTGACCTAGGACTGTGGGAAGCCACTGAGTGTGGAGACCCTATTTCATTCTCAGTGAGTAAATGTGTGTGGCAGGGAGAGTCCTCGCACTGGGCTGGAGAAGGCGGGCCCCAGCAATGTAAGCACGCACCCTTCCATCACAGCAAACTCTTCATAGATTTACTTTATGAATTTGCAGACACAGGCAGAATCCATCAGCGATATTTCAGTCCAATTTGGCTTACATATTAGTGGCAATAATTTTATCTTTGATATGTGCTGTGGTGATTAAAAGCATCCAACACCCAAGGCTGCACTAGGTGCCACTTCTAGGTGTCCAGTAACATTCTGAATTGGCACATATCTCTAAGTGCACCAAGACAGAGTGTTTTTGCCTGTGTACTTGTTCTGTCTCTTCCATTCCATTAGCTGGGGACTCTTTCACTGTGGGAGCCTCTGTGCCTGATGCATACTTCATATTTGAAAGTAGTTTCTTTGTGTTGGAACACGAAAAGTTAGCTCTAGATGTTTCAGGAATCTAGGTGCATGATGGGTGGGCAAGGCTAGAATGGGGAGTTGGAAGGTCCTATCATCTTTTGTAGAGGCCAGAGGCTTCCCTGAGCCTTGGCCAGGCCACACAGGTGGGAAGAGGCTGCAGAAGTGCCCATGCCTTACACACACCGAACGATAGGTAGGTAATGCCCAGCAGATATGCTTTAAAAAGGTGAAAGATTTGTACGATCTGAAGAGAAACCAGAGGGTAAATGACAAATATGCTTTAAATGAATAAATATGACACAACACCAGCGATGATAAGGAATATTGGCTGAAGCCAGAAATCAATCCAGATCATCTAAAGGGGAATGAGAAAAATAAAGATCCACAAATGGAAACAGAGGTAAGCTGAGCAGATTTCCTGGGTGGCTCTGAGGTGCTCCTATACCAGAGCTTGAGCACTCAGAGGTGGATGGGGGCCATGAAGACAAACTTTCTGAGAACAAAGGATCTTTTTGGACATGACAAGCCCTTATGATTTGTGAAATTAGTGTTCGCTGCTAATTTGTCATTTCTGTACTAAGACATGAGTTTTTTGCTGGTTTTTTTTTTTTGCAACCAGTAAGGAGATTGTAACCCTTGGCTTGGTGTCGCCCGCACCACGCTCAGCCAGTGAGTGCACCGGTCACCCCTACATAGGATCCAAACCTGTGGCCTCGGCGCCCCCAGTGCCGTACTCTCCCGAGTGAGCCACAGGTTCGGCCCAAGACATGAGTTTTAACAACCTGTGTTGAATGATAGACTGTGAAAGTAAGCCTGCTAGCTAGAGAGGACACTTCTGATTGTGCAGGGTATGCAACTTTGTGGGGTTTTCTTTTCTTTTTTTTAATTACTGAATGTGGATGCAATAGGTCTTGTGAAGGGTTTGCATTTTTAAAAGACCCTTGGTTTTATGAAAAATGTGCATAGAGATAATGTGTATTTCTAGTGATTAAATTCAATACAGCGAAGAAGTAGATTAAACAGGGTAATAGAATGTTTGAGAGAAACTGTATTCCAGGGCCGGCCCGGTGGCGCACTGCTACAGTGCGCCGCTTGGGAGCGTGGTGGCGCTCCTGCCGAGGGTTCGGATCCCACATACAGACCGGTTTCCGCTCACTGGCTGAGCGAGGTGTGGGAGCAACACCGAGGGTTGCGATCCCGTTGCTGGTCCTGGTCCGGTACGGGCGTGACACTGAGGGTTGCGATCCGTTGCTGGACACGAAAAAAGACAAAAAAAGGAAAAAAAAAAAAAAAAAAGAAACTGTATTCCAGAGTGGTCATCATCACTTTGGAGATTATTGATCTTGAGACCCATCCCTTATAGATGTTTGGGCTTCAGTCAAGGATTTCTAAGCTTTACTTTCTAACCCTGAATGGCATTTTGTTTATGGGGCTGCAAAATAGTGTCAGTCTTGAAATTTCATGTTGTTGAGGGGTTTACCTTTATTAAGTGACTTTAGAATGTCTAGGAATGATATTCCTTGATCATAGTCCCTTAATCATGATATCATCACACTAACAAAAGTGATCTGCAAATTTCCATGGTGTGCTGTAGCTCTTTTGTAAGTAGTGGAGTTCAGTAGATTTTATTTGCCCTTTTCATTTGATTCTGATCGTTGTGGAGAAAACCAGAGCCATAATTACACTCAGAACATTTCATTATTTCAATTTGAGAGTGTACCTAATTTACCTGACTATGGAGAGGGTGTATGTGTGGGAGAAGGAGGATGTATAATGAACAATGGGATGAGATATAAGAACTTACTCTGTAATTATAATCAATCTCTTAATGATGTCTTCACATATATTACCAAGCTATTAGCATACTCTTACTCCAGGTATTCCAAATAGGATGGGTTTTAACACAAGAACTCAGGGATTTTCACAACTGTTGAAATAGCAAGGGGAACAGAGGTCAAAGAAACAGCTGCTGGAAGCTACTGGACTGACAGGAGCTCCCCAGGAAGCCACGGCACATCTCAGTAGTCTTTGCAGGAGCCTGAAACTCAGCCCTGTCCATGCATCTGCTGACACCTGTGCTGGAGGGTAATATGGCTTCTCCTTCCAAATCTCCCATGAGTGCCTCTCATTGGTAAAGTCTCCCCAGAACACGGAGGGGAAGAGATTGGGGAATGATTTTCTAAGGTCTGCAGAAAGGGTTCTGATGAAGACCAGTTGACAAGAGACAAGCCAGAGCCCATACTTAGGGAAGATCATGTAGTTCACTGAGACCTGGCAATTGATTGGGTACTGGGACGTGAAGGTTTATGCTCTTTGGGGCTCAGCTGTGTCTCTGCTGCACTGTTTTTAAAGTCAGCACTCCTATCTAGAGTATATTTTTTCCTCTGCAGAAGGAAATGAGCAATGCTGGGATTGGCATTCAAACTTCTCTTAGCTATGACCTGTGTTAGTTCTGCTCAGGTGCCATTGTCCAGGGCGAGTTATAGAGCAAAGCCTGCGGCACCAGGAGAGAGGAAAACTACACCCAAGAGGGGCCTGTAGAGAAAAGCCCACTAGAGAGAGCCATTGAATTTTATACACAAAACAATACAAATCGACCACAAACTACTTCCAGGGTGGGAAACTGGTGGCAAAACTGAGTGGGCCTTGGGAACAAATGATCACTTAACAGGACTGACCAAAATTCAAATATGACAGTAAGCACTTAATACTAATGTGCTTGTACTTTTCAATAAATTATTATTAGTGAATTTCAGACTCAAAGTAACTTCTTAGTTTATTTACGTAAAATAAAATACTACCTTTTAAAGGGCAGACTTTCTCTCTGGATCAGTTTTGCAACAGTTATAAGTTCTCAGGTCATTTACCCTTCTGATTAGATTTCTATGGTGACTTTAAGAGTTAGATTTTCTTAAGCAAGATTTATAACTTTGACTCTTCAGCAGGACTTTTTATTTAAAGGAATGAAACTGTAAAAGAACCTGTCCAGATAGCCTCTGATGGGAACTGTATTAGCTTAC